TTTGTCGTTTTTTAATTACTTTTTTTTTTATTTCTAAGGAAAATTTAATTGACATGTAGCTATTTATATAAATAATTCATCAAGAATTTGAAAATTATGAAGGTTCCTTGGATAATTTTTTTTAATGTTCCAAAAATTATAGACCAATTAATATTCAAAGAAATTTATATATCAATGACATTGTGGGATTCTTATTAATATATTAAATATATCAAATACATCAATAATATATTTATATTTAGATATATCATTGATGTTACTTATATACCTAATATGATTTAATAACTTATATACTTAATGCAAGAATATGAGTCACACTAAATATATATTTATATAACTGACATATTAAGTAATATCTATAGTAAAAATATCACCAAGAAGATTTTTCTCAATTTTAGAAAATCACTCACTTAAAATATATAACTGAGTTTTCTATTTTTTTTTGCTTGAACTTAACTTTTATTATTTATTATTTTTTTACTATATTTACAAATTAGAAAAGTGGTTGTTATATTTACAATAAAATATTTTTTTTCTATATTTACAAGTGGACCTATCATTTGACGCATGAGCTTTTTATTTAGAATAAAAGAACTGTACATTTAGATAAAACATTAAATTTAAATTCTCTCAATTTCATATCAAAATCTATATAGTTTACCTATTTAGAAAGTCTATTTTTTTTATTTTTAATATACTGTAATACAAATTAGGAGTATTTAAATCTCCCATTTTCAAAAAGAGTTAGAGATATTTTAACTAGTTTGAGTTATTTTTACATCCGTTTAAAAAGCTTTTTTTTCACTCCCATTATTATTTTTCTTTTTAAAGGTGTTTGAATTATTGTTGGATTTAGATAACCTGAAATTGTAAAATACTAGACTGCATTTGGTATGTGAAAATAATAAGATAACAAATTTATACTAATTAAATTTATTTGTTATTATTATTATTATTATTATTATTATTATTTTATAATTGCTTTGTTAGTTCCATGAGGAGCTCTTGCTTATGTAATAATTAAGCCAACTAGCATATCTTAATATTGCAAATATAATTGCTCTAACATTAAACACTTAACTATATAGATAGTTCAAAAATTCAAAATTGTTTTAATTGATCTACTTTACTAGATTATTACGCAATGTTATTATGCCATTAATTAGAGGACAAGATTTCAAAATATCATAAGAACAAAAATAAATGATAGATTATTTGAAAAAGAATAAATGATAGATTATTTGAAAAAGTAAATAAACAATGCGCCTTAATTTCATTTTTAGTTTTATGTTTTAAAAATTATGCTTGTTTTTTACAATTTCATTGGTAAGTTTTTCACTCTAAAAAACATATCTGAATTCTTAGCTAAATTTCAAAAATAAAAACAAATTTTTGAAAACTATTTTTTTGTCGGTGCACTCGTGGTGACGGGTCTGATTATTATCATATATTTTGGGTATGTATCAAATATTCGACTATGGTTTATAAGTAATGTTACAAAATTATATACTGATCACTATTAGGTGTACTAATATTGTACCAATGCATTATACATCATGAAATACAAATTATACTACATCCATCATATTGATCTCAAAGGTAGACAAATTATACCATATGCATCATATTAATCTCAGAGGTATATATAAGTTATATCATGTGTATCTAATTAATTTCAAAGGTATATTCATAGTGATCCAAAAGATATATACAAATTTTACAACGTGATCTCGAAAGTATATACAAATTATTTCACTCATAATAGGATATATATATATATATATATATATATATATATATATATCGAATATATGAGATATAAAGCTAAGATTCCGAAAAATAATGTCAATTGTTGATGATGTCCGGAAAAAAATGATAAATAAATGTCAGTCATCATTTTTACTTGCAGGAAAAAGGGTGTAAAATACAAAATAAAACAAATGATGTTTACCAACAAAAGAAATAGAAAGAAAATAGATTAATATAAAAATTCATGGGTTAATATACAAGTTATGGAATGAAAAATTATTTAATTGTATAATTAATATGGATTCACTTTTGATAAATAATCATTCCTTAATAAGTGTTAACATTTGCCTTAAATAAATATTAATTTACTAGACAGAGTAGATTTAAAATAACATCCGAAAAATTCAAAATTCAAAATTTTATTAATAAATAAATAAAATTTTTAAATAAAAATCAAATTATTAAAAAAGTATAAATTAAAATCTCATAACAAATGATGTAAAAAAAAATCTCATAACAAATATGGTAGAAATTGAAAGAATATGGTTAATAGAATATGGAAAGAAAGAATCAATTGTCATAATTAATAATTAATAAAGATTATAGATTTAAAATTTAAGCAATAATAAATATACTAACCTTAAATAAAATATTAAATTATTAGAAAAACAGAAATTAAAGAAGAATCATAAATATGTGTATTTTAGTAAAAAAAATATTTTTTCACACTTGAAAATTTAAAATTATAAATATTGCTAAAAATAATAATTATTTATGAAATATTGAGGGTGAAATAGTACATGACAGATAATTTCTGATATATATATATATATATATATATATATATATATATATTTATTGGCGTTATTACTTATTTCCTTCTGCTTTTGGAAAGACAGTAAATATTAAATGTAGTTCCATCAAATCCAAATTAAAACCATCTCAGTGGGCCCCACGAAACATGCACCAGAATTAAATTCTTTTTTTTTGTAAAATTATATATATATTTTTTATTTTCTATTATCTATTTTATTTTCTTAGTCATCGTTTTCTTTTATCATTTATATTTATGTTTTTAGTTACTTTTTCAAACTTATTATAAATGTGAAAGATTCAATTTGAAAATGTTGTTTTGCGCCAAAATGAATTTTAAGAATTATTATAGATAACTTATAGATATTAAAGTTACTATAAACTTAAAGTTTACTATTTAAGAACAACAAAAAGTTTTCACCCAATAGCTATCAAAGTTTGCAAAAAAAAAAAAAAAAAACAGTTTG